AGTTCCAACAAAATAAATAATTATTATCTTTATAAAAAAAAATATATTATTAAACCAAATATAAATTTTTTTCGTTATTATACATAAATTAAATTATAAAAAAATTGAATTAAAAAATTACACAAAAAATAAGAAATTTCAAATAGTTAATTTGATATTAATATCGATATATTTTTGTCAATTTTTTATGATATCTTCAAACATATATTTTATTCAAAAATAAAAACATTATCGCTTTCTCAAAATCACATAAAGCCATATTATAACATCGACTAAGATAAATAATAGAATAAAATATTAAAATAATGATGTATCTCGCTGCATTGCGCGAGTACGCTTCTAGTCAAATTCATAATAAAGATAAACCTGATAAAATAATATAGATAATGTGACTTAGAGTTTATCCGGATAATCATTTGGTAAACGACTCTTAGTTATTTAAAAAATATAATGATTATGTATTTCAAAAAAATGAGTGTCATTTTTATTATGGACATTTATTTTGGGACAGAGATAACGCATAAATTGCCTCAAAGACAAAACGACAAAGATTTACAAACTTTAGGGACTAAAATTGTGATTATAAAATCACAAGGAGGGAATTGGCAATTCTAAACAAACAACAGGGACTAAAATCACAGTTTACTAAAAAAATTGTCTATTTAAAAAATTTTATACTCCCGTTTGATGCAACGATCTCTGCTCTCTCTCCCATGGCTGAAGAGAGGAGAGAATCGAAATGGGAAGGCAAAGTCGTTGCAGAAGTAAGAAGTATCACACCACAACAAGTATGGCCTCTCTTGGAAGACTTCTGCAACGTCCACAAATGGCTTCCGACTATCGACACAAGCCGCCATGTGGAAGGAGTCTACGGTCAACCAGGTCTCGTCAGGTACTGTGCCTCCACCCTATCATCATTACCGTCTAACGGCGACGATCAGACGCCTACGACTGTAGTCAATTGGTGTCACGAGAAACTTCTGTCGATTGATCCCGTTCAACGGAGTCTGAGTTATGAGATCACGGAGAATAACCTAGGGTTCACGTTTTACGTCGCTGAGTGGAAGGTGATCGAATTGAAGGGTGATGATAATGCCGGAGGATGCCGGATCGAGTGGTCGTTCAGTTGTAATCCGGTAGAAGGGTGGAAATTAGAGGATTTCAGTGGTTATATCGGATCGGGTTTAGAAGGCATGGCGAAGAGAATCGAAAAGGAGCTTCTAGTTGCGACTAGTTGAATTCTGGTACTGAATCGTATTCTGCATCTTCATAAACTCTAATTGGTTCTTATGGTATTGTATAAGAATCCCTTAATTATGCTTGTTTTGGAATAAGACCAGGATCAAACCCTAAAAGATGATTGAATCTTAAAAAAATAAGGGGTATGTTTGGATTTCTTCATACTTTTGATCCATCTTCATTGGAAATGTGACTGTAAATTCTGGATTTAGGTTATGAAAGTATGGAAGAGTAGTAAAATCAAGGAGACTCACATGGACACATAGTCCCAAAATGGGGCTTCACATGGTTGCTATATAGGATATTATTATGTATATACAACATCAATATCAATATTATATATATGATATATGTGGAGAGAGATGGGGAAGGGGAATCAAATAAGATGACATGTCATTACTAAATAAAATTGCATGTGATATAACATGTTCAAAAGTCTGCTAAAAGATAATTTATCAATGTAAAATGATGTATCATATTTAATCTTGAAACTTCTATGATCAGTTGTACCGTTCTCAAAGCCTATGTCATTCAAACCTTGCTTTCAACTGTATCGCTCCAGTTGCACCTTCGCTGCCCCGTTGTCGTCCGTTCTCCGTACTGCCCTTCGCCACTGTCGGCCTTTGCTATCGATCTCCGTCTTTTTAATGTCTTCTTATCTTTCGATTCTCCCTCTTTCTACACAATTTAGTGGAGTAAATTGTTCACAAAAGAAGGGAGAATTGAAAAAAATATAAAAAATAGAGAGATCGATGACATGAGCCATCAACGGTGATGGGTTGTGATAGAGAGTGGACGATGACGGGATAACAAGGGATGTTTAAGGTTTGAATTGTGTAGGGTTTGAAAACAGTAAAAATTGATTTAGCTTTTTTGTTTACTTCAAAATTTTCCTAGCCGGTTACAAGGAGTCACCGACCTAAAGCTACGCATCAAGTGAGATGAGATCCGAAGGATTTCATTGCCTGTTCAGATTCTCATTGGACCCGTGTACACCAAAGGATCCGTGAATTTGGCTACGAAACCGCTCGATCTCTAAACACGGGAATCCCTCTTTTGTTGGCACCTTTGAATTGGTATCTTGGGGCAACAAGTGAAAATAATGGAGCCATAGCCTGCCTCAAAGTTACAGGAGTTGATTTGCCTTGCAGGTTATCTAGTAGAGATGTGCAGAATGTCATCCGATTTAATTTAAACTGTCCATTTGCAACATCGAACATTATATATGTTCGATAATCAACATTGTTCCAGTCCAAACTTCTGATTTCTACCGATTGGGGATTCTCTAAGTTATCGATTGCCTTTACAGCACTGTCGTCACGTCAATCAACAGAGAGGCATGACCAAGAATGAGTCCGAGTTTTTAACGAGCTACTCGAGTTTAATAATTTCGAGTTCAAATTGATCTTGAACATAAAATAGAACTCGTTTAACTTAACGAGCCGAGCTTCATAACACCAATATTCGACCCTGCTCCTTTGAAAAGTTGATTAAATGAGGAAGCGGGAGCAAGAAAACCAAGAATATCTTTCTTGACCAAAATGCGCGCGAAATACTTTTCGAGTGATCTCCTCCAAGTCATTGGTATGGCTACCGAAATTTTTCGAGTCAAGCCTAGACATTCGAATATACACTTTCTCGAGTGGAATATATGTCCATAAATTATACAATAGGAATAGATAAATTATTAACCTCAAGTCAATAAATAAGTTAATATATCGCAAGGTTGAGCCCATAAACAAGCATCAAGCTCGAGCTCTACTTAGAAAAAGTTATTCGAACTCGTAGTCTAGTTCGAGCATGGTTTTATTTTTTCAAGCCGAGATCAAATAACCTACTCGACTCGACTCGACTTGTTTACACCCCTACCCAACAACCTGGCAGCACGAATGCTGATACAAATCGCTCTCTATCCATTACTCTATAAATATTTTCATTTTCTAAGGTGAGTGATATCATGAGATTTGAATTGATTTGGTGTTAATGAAATAAGAAATGCATGGGAGGATCTTCTTCCTAAACACATGATCATAAGCAGCAGTGAAAATCCAAATCCATACACAAGGCATACTATATAATATTCATTCAACAGACCATCAAAATTATTACCTACTACTTATTTCACCTTCAAGAATGATGGCAGCTTAGCTTCCTCACCATCCAGTCTATGATATCTTGTGCGATTTCTTCGCGCTCGGGCTCAAACAGGAGGTCGTGCAAGAACCCATCATACAGCTTTATGTCCTTGTACTTCGAAGCTGCCGAGTTGTACAGATCCTGAGAAGCAAGTGGATCCGTCACTTTGTCCGCACTTCCATGAAGAACAAAGAAGGGTACAGTCACCGACTTAAAGCTACGCATCAAGTGAGACGAGATCCGAAGGATCTCATGGCCCGTTCGGATTCTCATTGGACCTGTGTACACCAACGGATCCGTGTATTTGGCTACGAGAGCCGCCGGATCTCTAGAAACTGGAATCCCTCTTTTGTTGGCACCTTTAAACTGGTATCTTGGGGCAACAAGTGAAAATATTGGAGCCACAGCCTGCATAAACACATAAATCAAAAAGTAATCAAGTAAAACCAGATTTGTAGTGTTCCAAATTTTAGTTCAATTTTGATGTAAATTGTAAAAAATTGTCCTAGATGGACAGAAAATGGGATTTGTGAGCTCTTTATAAGCCTCAAGTTGTGGGCTACCAAGAACTTCCACCAAGGTTTTAAGTTGGATTCGATGTTATTGGGCCAGCCTATTGCTTTAGACTTTGGGGTGTTACATAATTTTGTCAAAATTTTTAAAGTGCATCGTTTTATTACTTGTGAGAAAAAAGTAAGTGGAAGCTAAAATAGGAGACTTACACCGACTATGGGATGTGAAGGAGTAACACGCAGTGCAGGCGAAGTTAATATAATTCCCTCTAGCAGTTCTTGGATATAAGGGTAGCTAGCAGCCTAATTGGATAAACGACTGTTAACTTTAACCTTCGTAACCAAAAACCAGTTTTGGTGCACAAACTGTCAAGTAGCCTTACCTTTAAAACCACAGCTCCACCTGTTGAGTGCCCATAAAGAAAGCAAGGTTTACCTGGGTGATCCGACTTTATCTTCTCCAGGAAAGATCCCTAAAGAAGGTACATGGTTACAGAATCATCATACTACATGCGCTAAAGAAAAGAAGTAAAACTCAAGCACCCAATTCTACATGTATTTGTCATTATGTTGTATATATGTATGTTCATACTCACAAAAACAAGTACATATGTGTATTTATATATATAAATATTATGTATATGTATGAATATGTGTACATATGTCTGTATGGTGAATATATGTATACATGTATGTATAAGAATACTATATTTTTCTTCATGTTGTGAAGGTACTCTACATTGCAGGGAAAAGTATGAGAATTGCAGAAGTAAACTTACGGTATCTGCCACAACATGGTCCAATGAAGGTACATATCCGTGCAAGCCGTCACTCCCTCCATGACCTAAGACATGGAGACATTCACAAAATCAAGTACCAACACTAGCAGGCCAATGGAACCTCAACAATTACATTCCCTTGATCCTAAATGAGAGCATGATTATTTAAATTCCTTTTGAAGGATATGGTAATTTCAGGATACCCTCGACTAGTGATTCCTATAATCTGATAGTGATGGTGCTTATCTTAGAGACAGATATATTTAGCAAAACATGTAGATACTCAACCAAGCTTCACCCAAGGCCAATCCACCCACGATTAACACGAAGAAAGGATCAACATCGATTTCCACAACTAAACAGGTATCTAGGTGATCCTTCCAAAATAATCCCACATTTCAAACACCAGGCACATTTAAAGCAAATGTGTGTGCCAAATGCTAGGGGGATGAAAATAGTAGTAGTGCTGTAACCCGGTTTTGATGGCAAATGGCCAATAGTCATCCTGTAGAGCATGTATAACAAAACATACCTACCTATCCAGTCCATTGCATATACCCCAAAGTTACAGGAGTTGAGTTGCCTTGCAAAATCAGCATATCTCCCACTGCAAATATGAATCATATGATAATATACTATTTAATAAACAAAGAAGCTTATTTAGTGGTCATAACATACACACCATGATCTTGAATTATATAATAACTCACCATATCCATATTTCAATAAGGTTAGAAAAATGAAGGGGGGATATCACTCTTACCTGTGCTCATTTAGTCCATGTATAATGATCAAAATTCCCCTGGAAAGAGGTAAGCAGCAAAATTAGCAATAAAACTATTGAAATGGCAAAATTGTTGAGTATGCGTTTCACTGAAGTAAAAAGAACAAGTGCTTAAGTTTGTGTCAACTAGGACATAGTTTATAAAAATATAATGTGTTTACAAAGCATTATGACAAGAGAAATTACTATCATTCCTACTAGTCTAGAATCTGAATATTTCACCAAAGAATGAATTCTTTACTGCTTAATTGAGTTATCCAACTTTAGAATCTACTAATGTGCAAATACCTGATATTAAGATTATGAGAACATCTTCAGGCACAGTTCGTGATAATCACGAAGTCAAAAAAATAGGTCGATAAAAAGCTGGAGGTCAAAAGTGCCTGGAGGTCCCAGGTTCGAATCCAAGGAGGAATAAAAATCCTCTTGGGGCCATGAAGGTTCAAATGTGTTGACTCCGGGCTACCTGCGAAGCGGTTGGTCGCCCTGGGATTAGTCGGCTCGCACAGCGGGTTGGATATCCAGGTTAATAAAAAAAAAACGCTGGAGTGGAACACCATAATTCTTTAGGTCCAATGAATTGCTTTTTCAAACTTCAAAAGTAATAGATTGTTTTAACATTCAAGAAAGATGTGATTAAATTGAACTTCGAATTACAAACATTGGAGTGGAACCCTTTGATCTCAAAACTACAGATGCAAAATCTAAAATAGGAGCGAATGTTTTTTTTGCCACTTTTTCATCTGTGAATTGTTAATGAACCCATCTCATTCGTCGACTCTATATGACCTAATATTTCTCTCATGCATGACTTATATTACAAGATATAATAACTATTAATCTATGCACTCTTTTTTATTTGTGATTTTGTGGTTAAGCCTTGAATCTTGAAGAAAAATGCAGAAATAGGCCATTTCTTTGGAACAGAGCGAGTAATTAAATTGACAACTAACCTGTGATGACCAATAAGCAGAACATACAGCATCTCCTAGAACCATTTCTGTGGAAATTAATGCCCAAATTTCCATAAGCCTAAGTTGTGTTAATCGATTAACATCTAGTAAGCTACCATACTAAATCTCGAATAGTATTTTCATGCTGAATTTAAGTATTTCTTGTTTGTGTAACTGACCGATAACCATGTACGAAGAACATCGAAATAGAAAAAGATCAATGAAATTCTAACCACTGCTTGCCAAAATCTTCCAAGCCAACTGATTACACACACAGATTATCATAATATAGCGCTTAACAATAGCATAATATAAGGCTCCGAAATGAAATTTGTGATGATTCTATAATAATTAGGCAATATAACGAAGTCTACGACACTTGTACTTTACCTAATCTCACCAGCAACCGGAAGCCACGACCGGCAAAATAAGGCGTTGCGTCCGGTCCCAAAGAACAGAGACGTGGTGGCGTGGCACTGACTAGACCAGTCGTCATCGACCGACGACTTCACCATCTGAATTTCCTCAGCGAGAGCTCTTCGCCTGAGCACATCCTCCTCGAGTTCTCTCCTTCTAAAAGAGAATTTCCTCTTCGAGGAAGGAGAGGACGGAGGAGGAGGACGGTGATGGTGTTGTCGACACCGACGGAGATGAAAAATGAACCACAGGACGATCGATTGGAAGAAGATTACTGCACGGCGGATGGAAGCCGAGGAAAACACCGATCGGCGAACGTTCTTGAAGACGGGGATGATACGGCCGCTGGCGCCGGAGGTTAGCTCTTCCACCTGTACCGCTCCTTCCATGACTGGCGGACAGATGTGGAATATGCAAGAGGAGAACGGGTTCTCTCTTATAACGCGTAGAGGGGGGGGTGTAAAAGTGAAAATTAACTAGGTACTTTAATATATGTACAAAAAAAACCCCTATAGTTTGTAAAAATGCAATTTAAGCACTAAAAAGACATAATACCTAAAGATCTATGCAAAAAGGTTTTGTAACCTGCGAGTCTGCGACCTCGACCTCGACCTCCCCCAAGAGTATGTGAGTAGGCAAATCAAGTATATAGCTGTCTGTTAAAATAATTAGCTCAAAAACTCAATGTCAACAATGAGCTTAATCCCCAAAAATTGTAACTCCATATTATAGTTATCAGATTCAAATTTTCCTTATCCAAGTGTACCACTCAAAACCAGTTGTGTTACGCCTCAAGAGGCCATAATACATAAAGTTGTTCATCTAATACGATGTACATAGAGTTTCCTTTAATAGTGCACAAAAACTAAATCACTCATGAATCAAAATCTTGCCAATACTTTGTACTGAGTATTAAATAACAGATAAATAAATTTCATACAAAATTATCTTTCATATTGTAATAGTAACTTAAACTATAATGTGTTACATTTCTTTTAACAGTAGAATAATAACTAAAAATTGTGCATCAAACATCTAAAAATACATGTCTCAAAATACGTATTTTAATTTTTAGGTACCAATCAGTAACATATTTTTTATGTAACTGCTACTAACATTTCGTAACTGTTTTTTAGTCTTTATTTTTTTCTACGATAGCGAACTAATATTTCTCATATGAATACTGATATTGTTGTGTTGATTTTGTATTTAAATATCGTCACTCTATTAGATCACTTTAATATAATTCTATTTTTGATTTTATAAACTTATAAAGTTACAATCGTATTTCCAAGTACTATCATAAATGTAAAGTTTTGTTTCAATAATTTCGGCAATGTTGGATTGATATATCGCTGTCTCATTTTTGTTTACGCGAACAAAAGTTTATAATTTAATTAATAACATGTAAAAATTATTCGGCAGAGTCGGTCCAAGGGTTTTTCATGCCCTGGACGAGAAGGTAAAATAATGGTCCCACTGTTTAAAAACTACAAATGAAACATACTGTTTTAAAGGGTTTGGAGCCTAATCAAGCTAGGTATCTCATACCGAAGCCAATTTTTGTTATTACTATTGAATGATAATTTACCTTTTGTAATGCATATCTTATGATTATATAATATCACAAAGCTCGTTAACGCAACGCTCGTTCACCCCTTCTCATCTCAGGATTATATACTATACGTGTATCATATTTTTAATTTATGCTCAAACTAATCGTATACGACCATATAAATATATTTAATTTGTCTTAAAACTTAGAAAAACTTAATACTATACGTGTATCATATTTTTAAATATCTAAACATCATTGAGCAGCGAGTGTTATGTAGTTTACACAATCATATATAGCCTTAGGCAACAAACCACATTATGAGTGACAACAAAATTGGAATTACGAGATTCAATATCGAATTAAAATTAATAAAATTAAAATAGAAAGAAAAAAATATCAAAATATATTAATAGCTTACTGGTAAAGAAATGTATATGTATGCTTAAGGTTTAGAGTTCAAGTCTTGTAGTTACTACTTCGAGATTTTTTTTATCAGTAATACTGTAAATAAAAATGTTTAATGTTTAAGAATATTGGCTTGTGGCCACATAAAACACAATAATGTCTTAAATAATAGTATATTCATTACTTCCAAGAAACCCTTAATTTAATGGCCTGGAATAACTTTCCAAAAAAGGAAAGTGGTCCAAGTAAGAAAATAACAGGAGAAAGGATTGCTACCAATCTTTTCCGTCGACAAAATTTTGAAAATGAGAGATAAAAATCGTAAAATTAACATGTGAAAGAAACACATGATGTGATGGTTAAAATTAAAATAACGTCATATTTTGTTATGGCATAAGGTACAACGAAAAAGTTAGCAGGTCCATATTTCATAAAGTTGGATGAAAAGTGCATGTGCACATATACATATACATATACATATACATATACATATATAGGGTTGGGTTCACGTGAGACCGAGAGTTTTTCGTGAGACCCGTGAGACCAATTTATGTTCATTGATCAACTTTATAAACTAATGATCTATTGGTTTAAAGTTGCACGATGACAATTTTGTAATTATTGAAAACTCTCGTGGCAAATTTTGTGATTAAGAATGTTGAGATTATAGATCTAATCCAAAGGTTGAGAATTGGTCTTACGAGTCTCACAAAAAAACATTGGTCTCATATGATCCCAAGTCTATATATATAATATAACCGAAATCCTTTTAATATGGCATTAACTTGGAACCATGCATTTGATAAGTATGGAGCACTTGGTCCATTTTTTGAGGTCTTAAAGAAGTGTGGAAACACATAAGGACTTCAAATGAAAATAGAAAAGAGATGGAACTCCATGTCCTCTTATATATAGACTTGGGATCATGTGAGACCAAAGGTTTTTCGTAAGACCCGTAAGACCAATTCTCAACCATTGGATTAGATTTACAGTATGGACATTCATAATCACAAAATTGTCACGAGACTTCTCAATAATCACAAAATTGCCACCATGCAACTTTAGACTATTAGCTTATAAAGTTGATCAATGAACATAAATTGGTCTTATGGGTCTCATGGAAAACCATTGGTCTCACTTGAACCCAATCACACACACACACACACACACACATATATATATATATATATATATCGTATTTTAAAGACGTTTGTCAATCAAAGTATATCATAATAATAACGTTCACAATGTTTCACATGTATCACACATTTTTTTTTGTTTTATGAAATTTATCATAGTGTGCATTTTCGTTATTTTTATTGATTTACAAAGGTATCACATTGTGCATCTTGTATGTATATCTGAGTATCATAGTGAATATCGTTTATAGGCATCACAGTGTGTATCTTATGTTCACATAAGATTAATCGGAATAAAGTTCGCCGAATAAGAATCACCGAAGAGAGGAAAGAGAAGAGATAATATTTATAAAATCTCTAAAATGTTCTTAATCAATATTTTAAGTTAAAATTATCAAAATTATTAATTTTCTAATTTAATCTTTGATTTATGGTTAAGATTAGATCTCATGGTTAAAACAAACAAAACAGTTCTCATTTGATTAGATCTCTACATACATATATCTATATATATATATATAGAGGAGTGATCAAATGAAAACCACCCTCATTTGTGTAAACCGTACAAACCATCTTCATCCGTCGATTTCATTGTTTAATCTTATGAAATTTTTTCATGAAATTGTTTAATCTTGTGAAATAATTTCATATAATACTTTTTTGATGAAGTTGTTTCATATATGGTTGTGAAATTATTTCATATAATACTTAATGAAACTGTTTCATGTATTTCTCTAAAATTAATGAAACTATTTCATTTATTTCTCTAAGATTAAAATAATGAAGATGATAATATCTATGATTAACATCCTCCACAATAAAAATGATTAATCAACCTTTCATATTTACAAAAAAATGAACAAAATGAAAAATTATGATTAGTTGAATGAAGTTTGTATGGTTTGTACAAATTGAGTGGTTTGCATTTGATCGCTCCCCTATATATATATATATATCTATACTATATTATAAAGCATTTGACTAAAACTCTTAAAAACTCTTAAAACTCTTAAACTCTTAAAAACTCTTAAACCAGTTCATCCCTATCCGATTTCATTCAATATCTGAATTCGTGTAACTAAATGCAGATAAACATAATCAAATATCTCATTTTAAATCTAAAAAATCTAAAATATAATTAGGATAATCATTGAGTTCTAACAGAATACTTAATTATTATCTTTATAAAAT